AAAAAAAAAAAAAAAAAAAAAAAAAAAAAAAAGAAGAAGAAGAACAAGGAAGATGGATACACGGAGTTGCTGAACGGGGCGACAGCTGTCGATTTCGTACAGCCCTTGCGCAGAATGCGCAAGCGGAGTTGCAACGGATCTAGCCATAAATAACGTGCTTGTTTCTGGACCATAGACGAGAGAAAAAAGAGCCGGAATAGAAGAGAGCGGGTAGCGAGGGGTGAACGAATGTTGGTGAACGTGCAAACTATCCTGCGAGAGATGGGTTCGTGCTCGTCGACGACGTGGCGGGATTAGTTCATTAGCTGTACGTTATACTAATCGTGTTTACGCTTTGTCTGATCGATGTGCGGTTAGCTGAGTGTGATTATCTCCACTCTCGGCTAGTTTCCTGCGGAGAGACACGTGAGAAATCACGATGCAAACGACGAAACTTCGAGTGACATACTGGGTTATTCTTAACGATCGCTGCTCGTTCAACATGCAGGAAATACAGATGTTTGCTCTTTGATTTTAGAAAGAAATGTTCTATATCGTGCAACGATGCTTATCATGTGGAGATTTTTGAACTGTTTTCTATTCACTATAGTGAGTCATTAGGGTGTTCGTGTGAAACTCAGATAAGAGAGCGATGAAGAGTACATTTGAACCAATAATGATGAAAAATTATCGATAATTTATACTTCGATTAAAGAATCTACTTGGTTCGTTGTTTCATGCAGCGGTTGGGAAAGTAATAATAAGCATCTTTTTTTTTTTCCTTCGAAAAATTATACAATTTTGTGATTCTTCGTTTTTGTAGTACTTTGAACGTTAAACGACAAAAATTCAAGAAATCCTTCAATACTCAGAGCTCAATAAAATGATCAGAAATCGTTTTAAGGTCGTTGTAGAGAGATTTCAATTCTCAAGGTCATCGGAATCCAGTCATAGAAAAAGAAAATAAAATATAAGAGTTGCCCGTTTAGAATCTTTTTATTTTATTAAGAAGGGAAGTAGAAGTATTCTTCTTTTATATAAGAATGAGTTGGATTGTCGAGTTGTGATCATCGACGAGTATCACACGATATATGTGTTACCTTGCTTACATCGTAACATGTCGTATATTACAAATTCAGGAAAAAGAAAAAAAATATATATATATATATATATATATATAAAGGACTTGCTATTTTTAATTGTTCTTAAGAGTTATATAGTATGCTACCTGGGTACTTATTACCCGAAGGCCGATACGTTAATGTTTACGCCAATTTATACCTATATTTTAAACATGAATATTTAGTAATTTCGACAATTCAGCCGATAAACGTAACAATCCTATTTTAAAACGTTTCTAAAAACATTTAACTTCTTTTTACATACCGAACCATTCGATACGATCTTGTATTTAGAACTTTCCATTCCTTTGCGTAGAATAATAATAATCTGCATTAATCATACGAGTATACGACAGAATAGAAGAAATTCGAAGTAAGATATAATTTTATCAAATAATTATTTAATGACAACTGTAAAAAAAGAAGACTAGTTCTCATAAGTACACACTGTTGT